TAGTCCCGATGTTTCTGCCTCCTAACTAATCTTTCCAATTATTCCTTTTTCCTCCAGCCCCCTAGCCACCATCCTCACTATTGCTCACCTCCTGGGAGTAGCCTCTTCCTGGCCTTCCTGTCGCCAGTCCCACCCACTCCAATCTACCCTCCCTGCCGCCACCAGGTGACCTGGCTGAAATGTGGACCTGATCGTGTCACCCTCCCATTTAAAACCCAGAGTTTAGCACAGTGCCTGGCACGTTGTAGGTGCTCAACAAATGTTTTTTGCATGAATGAATGACACATGGCCGCATTGTGCTATATCATCATCACGCTGGTTTGCTAGAGCTGCCATTACAAAAATCCACAAGCATCGTGGCTTGAACAGAAATTTATTCTGTTATGGTTCTGGAGGTCAGAAGTCCAAAATCGAAGTGTCAGTGGAGCCATGATCCTTCTGAAGTCGCTAGGGAAAAATCTCTCCTTGCTCCTTCTAACTTCTGGTGTGGTTGCCAGCAATCCTTGATGGTCCCTGGCTCCAGTCTCTGCCTCTGTTGTTCCGTGGCCTTCTCCCTCTGTGTCTGTTCGTCTCTGTGGTCAGATTCCCCTCTTTCTTATAAGGACCCCTGTCACTGGGTTTAGACCCACCTTACCCCAGCATGACCTCATCTCGATTACATCTGCAAAGTCCTTACTTCTTTTTCTTTTTTTTAAAGATTTTATTTATTTATTTGAGAGAGAGAGAATGAGAGAGAGAGAGAGCACATGAGAGGGGGGAGGGTCAGAGGGAGAAGCAGACTCCCTGCCGAGCAGCGAGCCCAATGCGGGACTCGATCCAGGGACTCCAGGATCATAACCTGAGCCGAAGGCAGTCGCTTAACCAACTGAACCACCCCAGCACCCTGCAAAGTCCCTACTTCTAAAGAAGGCACATTCACAGGTACCAATGGTTAGGACTCCCAACATGTCTTTTTGGAAGACACAATTGAACCCATAATAGTCATTAAGCAAAACAACTTAAAAGTAGAAATTTAAAAGGCTATATCCATGGGCTCATTTTTATAGCCAAGTTCTCGTAGTTTCTCTCTCATTGTCTCTTGCTATGTTTTTTTTAGGGCCAAATACTTTTAAACAGTGCTAACACAGAAGTAGATTAAACTGCTATGAGAACATGGAAGACATGGCAGTTAACTCCTGTAGACCATGAGAAAGCTTCAGAGAAGAGATTTATAGTTGAGCTATTCTGGAGAAAAGGATGCAGGCGTACAGACAAGTGTATAAGAAGAGGTGTTCTTTTTTTTCTTAAAGATTTATTTATTTTAGAGAGAGAGCGCGAGTGTGCAGGAACAGAGGCAGAGGGAGAAGGAGAGAAATCCTCAAGCAGTCTCCCCGCTGAGCACAGAGCCCAACGCGGGGCTCGATCTCAGGACCCAAGATCACAACATGTGCCAAAACCAAGAGTCAGAGGTTCAACTGACTGAGCTAGCCAGGCGCCCCAAGAAGAGGCACTCTTGGAAAGAAACTGCATACGCAAAACTGTGGTGGCAGAACACCCTGTGGGGGATAATGCAGGGGGCTTTAGTTTATGCTGGTTCTGGGATACTGCCAAGAAATAAGGATTTGGTATTATAGGGCCTCTCCCTGAGACACCCTTTCTACTAGCTCTCCCCCCACCCCTGCCTCCAACCCCACCTCTTTTTTCCTGGCTAGTCCTTCAAGATCCAGGTTACTAGCCACCTTATAGAAACAAACAACTTAGCATGGGTGAACAAACACGGAGGACTCACCTACATACACATCTAAAAAACCAAGAGAATACCACCCACCATCCCAATGCCTGAGGTCATTATTAGTTGCTCAGAGATGGTCCCCAAGTATAGAACTGAAACCATCAGGAAAGTGTGCAAGACACAGCTGAGCTGTGTGAGCATGTTTCCTGGGATTTGATCTGGCAGTCTGAGCCTTCAAGTGGGATCAGCAACATGAAAAACCCAAAGATAATTGATCTGGTTTAAATAAGCACTGAGTCCATAGCAAGAATCATGAAGATGTTCATGTCCTGTGGGCTAGGCAAGGATTCAACTGCAAGTGGCTTATTTGGGAGCTGAAGCCAGGAAATGCCAGCAAGGGCGTGGGGAAGTGAAACAGGGAGGGAAGATGTTAGCGGTACATCATCAAGGCTGTTACCATCGTGGGCAACTGAAGCTCAGTCTGGCTGTCGGGCTGTGAGATGGGGTGTGAGCATGCTTTAGAGTTATCTTGAAGGATCTAGGGGACTGATTCACCAACCCTGGCCAATCAAGGGTGAGAGTTTCTCCCCAAGAAGCACAAACTTCCGGGCACCTCCAACCTCTCCCTTGTGGGTAGAGGGAGGCCAAGAGCTACAGGGGCTTGCATTTAGAAGCCTTACGTGGTAAGTGTGAGGGGTTAAGATGGGTCCTTGATAATGCCTGCTACAACCCTCAGGAGAGAACTCAGCTCAGGCTAAACCGCAAGTGCAAGAAGATGTTCATAGCCGTGTTGACTAGCATTGCAAAACTGAACACGTAACAAACAGATGAGGAAAACCACACAAAGTATCCAGCACTGTGGGAATGGTGTAGTAAATGTCTGTTCAGGGAAAGGAAGCACAGCCCCCACCATGCCAATTCCAAAGCCCTTTAGCAACATGGAAAAGGCCTACCACCTAAAGCTAAGTGGGAAAGGTCCTAGGATGAATTATGTGCACACTATATTTGTGCCTGGCCAAACACCCATCTCCAAGGCAAAGAGCATTTGAAGGAACCACAAAGAAATGAAAATCTATGGGGGTGAGGGGACCATGAGGATTCTTTTGTTATGTTGTCTTTCAGCTGAATGGAGGGCAAAGATTCAACTCAGTTTATAGCCAATAAAAACACCAATTCATATAAAGCAATGTACAGTGCCCCCTCCCCTGCCACTGTTTCCTGCATGCCGTCCCAAATAAATTGCTTGCTCTTAAATTCTCATCTCAGTTAACTTCTGGGGGAACCCAAACTAAAATGGGTCCATTCCCAGGACCAGGATGGCTGGGCCATAGGGCGTGAACATCTTTATGGTTCTTTTCATGTACTTAAGGCCCCATTTAAACCAAATTCATTCTCTTTCTGTTTTCATTTGCTGGATCCAAAAATCAAGGTTTGGATCAGATCACTGGAAATAGGCTTACATGGGTCCAGCCATGCCCTCCTTCCTTTTTTCATGTACACAGATGCTAAGGCACATTGGGAGCTGACATCACCAAGACGAATTCCTTGCCCAGGAGTCTGCAATTTATCAGAATGTAAAGAATGCAAAAGTGGAATTTAGCCTGCAGATTTGCATTTGTTATCAAATGTTTCCAAGCATGTTCTGTGAGGGACAAAAATTAAGCCTTTTCCCAGGAGATACATTATCGCTGTATGAGGCCTTCCACATATTTTTCTAATAGAAGTCATTAGAAGCTTGGCCTCAGAGATAAGAGGACAGTGTTCTCTGTGTTCCAGCCTGTGACTCAGCAACAACATCGAGTCCTGCCCTGGGCTACTGGCAGGGCTACTCCAGAGGGCTTGGAAGGGCTTCTGGGAAAGGGATGGGGGCCAAGGGTCAGTCCCGGTGTTGGTTCGAAAACTGGCCTCTGTACACGTAGGGCAGGGAGAGACCAAAGAAAGAAGCAGATCACTCTAGACTGGTAGGTGGCAGGTCTAATGAGCAGGGGAACTTAACATAAAAGGCTTGTCCTGGGTGCTGCAAGACGAGTAAATCTCCATGCTCACCAGCCAAGTCTCAAAAGTTTATATAGAGGCTTTAACTGGGTTCAGTCATGTATACTATCCAGATGGTTTCAACACCATACCACTATCTCAAGGCTGTGTCCTTGGGACAGCTTCTGGAAGTGGGGAAGGCAAGCAGAATGCACATTCTAAGGACAGGGAGGGCGTGAGGAACTTCTAATTGCCTGGGTCCCATTCACGGGTCAACTAGCAGTCACATCCTCTCGACCTCTCCCAATACCCAAGGACCTGGGAGATGGAGCCAGATTGGCAAATGTTCATTGAGTCCTACTGTGTGCCAGTCATGGGATGTGTAGAGATTAAGAGATCATCCCTTTCCTGCAAGAATAACCCAAATGTCCATCAATGGATGAATGGATAAACAAAATGTAGTATATCCATACACAAGACATTATTTAGCTATAGAAAGGAATGAAGTACTAATACACCCTCCAATGTAGATGACCCTGGAAAAAAATTATGCTGAGTGAAAGAAGCGAGACACAAAAGGTCACATATTGTGCAATTCTATTTACATGAAATGTTCAGAATCCATAAATCCAGAGACAGAAAGTAGAGGTTGCCAGGGACTGGGGAGGAAAAATCGGTTGAATTATGTCAGAGCAAGGGAATAATTTAAAGCCAGATATTAGCTTGTTTTCATGATGATATCAAAACAATTGTGTAGAAAATCTGTTTTCCCCGATAGGCATGAGTAGTAATGTGATGAGTCAGAGAGGGAGACATATCCATTGGGATTTAAGCCATGCTGGGGGGAATGTGATTGTCGTTTGGGCCCGGCCACCACTCCAGACGATAGCACTGGAGATGAGTGCGGCTTGTTTGTTTTACCATCACTCTCACTTTCCTGCCATTTTTCTTTTATCACATACTTCCCACATGCTGATGGCTTCTTGTGAAAAGAACATAAAACCCATAGCAAGGAATTTTTATCAGAGGCTAACAGTTGATCGAATGACAAGCAGACAGGTGGGATAGCAGCTATATGTTTCTCTCGAAGACCGTTTTCCAAAATAATTGGACTTGGAACAGGAATTGAACAAAGAGCTGGGCAAAGCAAAAATGCAGACACATTCATCCTGAGCCTTTTGTTTCTTAAACAAGAGGTAGTAACTATTATTTGATGCAAAGAGAGAAGGAAGGATGGATGGCAGATGGTTGTGAGGTAACAGCATAAGAAGGACGTGAGTGCCAGCTCCATCCAGATGCTCCAGCAGGTTCAAGGATGAGCACAGCGGGCTTGGTGCTCTTGGGGCTTGCTCTGAGGTTTAGGGCCACGATCTCTAACCCAGAGGAGGGCAACTTTTGCTCAAAAAACCAAGTGGACTTCAGAGACTCTTGCTATGAATTTGTGCCTCTTGGTCGCACCTTTTATGGGGCCCAGAGCTGGTGTGAGGAGCAAGGGGGGCATTTGGTCTTTACTGACGATGAAGACACCCAACAGTTTCTGCAGAAGCACATCTCACAGGACAGGGAATGGTCGATTGGACTCATAGGGAACTCGGCTCAGAATGGAACCACAGAAGGTAGGTGCTGTAAAAGCTGTATTTCATGGGAAGCTTGTGGCTGTGATTGTCACCATTGCTTCTTACCCAGAGCCTCATGGAACAAATTAATATATCCTAATTCTCATGGTGAGGATACCCTCCTCTTTGGTTGTTTTGTGGACCAAACGAAATAACTCAGGTACAGTAACCAGCACAGAATCTGGCACATTGCTGACACTCTGGAAACGTTCATTTGTTTGAATGTGCCTAAAACTAAGACTAACTATGACTTCTTCAGTTCTTGCTGGGATAGTCCCGGGCACTATCCTTAGTACTTCTTGTCCATTATCGCCTTGAATCCCTACGATAACCAGTGAGATAATATTGTTGCTTCTATTTTACAGATGAGAAAACAGGGTCCCAGGAAATAATTACTAAGCTATTTTCAAAGCACTTCCAGGGACCCGTGGGTGGCACAGTCAGTTAAGCATCTGACTCTTGGTTTTGGCTCAGGTCGTGATCTCAGGGTTATGATCTCAGGGTCGTGAGATTGAGTCCCGTGTCAGGCTCTGCACTCAGCACAGAGTCTGTTTAAGTCTCTCTCTCTCTCTCTCTCTCTCCCTCTGCTCCTCCTCCCACCCCCTCTCTCTCAGATAAATAAATCTTTTTTTTTTTAAACACTTCCACATGGCTTTCCCCATTTCTTACGGGATTAAAGCAGGTTAAGAGCTTGGGATCGCTCCCCCTCACATTAGATAGTCTCATTTTAGTGGTCCTCCTAGAAACTCTTCCTTACCTTTTACTCTGTGAGGACTCCTTCCTCCAACCCCAGTACAGTCAGGTGAGTGCTTCTCTCTGCACCTGTAAGGCCTTGTCCACACCCCTGTAAGGGTACTTTCAGCATGACCTCAAGTTTTTAGGTGTCTGTCTTTCTTCCTAGACAATGAGCTCCTCAAGGGAAGGAAACACATTCTGGCCGTGTTGTTTTCTCAGTGCCTGTACATAGCAGAGAATGGACAAATGAACATTCATATTTAATCCTTGCACCTGCCCCACGAGGTACACATTGCTACTCCTCTTTTATGGGTGAGGAACATGAAGTCCAGGGGGAGGAAATGGTTTGCTCAAGATGATGCTACTGGTGAAGGGCAGTGAGGACTCTGCCAGTTCCCACCACATCACATTGCCCTGTCGAAGCTACTGAGTTTTAGAAATGAGGAACTCATTCTGGGCTAAGCACTTATATACCAGAGTGGATGGAAAGGCTTAATTAAGGGAGCAGTTGGAGAAGCTTGTTTTAGGAAATGCATAGCCTTCGGATTTGAATTCTAAAATGCATCTTCAGGCAGTGTCTATTGAATTGTTTCTTGATTTGTCCATATAGCAGTTGTGGATTTCTGTATATTGAACGTCCATTTATGTGCAGTTAAAGGAGTTGTGTCTTTTCAAAAATTACCAAGCGATACCACATGGCTGTTACAGAACATGAGGTAGATAGGTGTAGGCTGACATGAAACCACCTCCAATATTTAACGTTATTTAAGAAGCAAGGGACAGGGTGCCACGTGCAATATGATGACATTTGTGTAAACTGATTTCAGGCACTCATAGATGCTGATATGTGGATACAAACCAGTCTGGATCAATTCATAAGAAACACACCAGTAATGGGAGTAACCTGTAGGTTGGGAGAGGGGAGATGTCTTCATTTTATATCCTTTTCACTCTAAATTTTTTAACCATTTGTACGGATTTATTTAAAAAATAATACACTTTTGAGTCTTCAGAGTAAATATTTTATATTTAGTGTTTTCTAGATTTCTAGTGTCCTTGAAATGCCTTTGTACTCCACACACGTGCACAGGGCACTTCTTCAAGAGCACATTAGTGTGTTCCAGGGGCGGAAGAGTCCTGAAGTAAGGAATACTGCTTCCATTTTAATGCAGCACGGCCCAAATATATTTGACAAGGGCCCCTGCCTCTCTGTGGAACACCTTTGAACATCCCAAGCAGACTTCTGTGCTCTGTTTTAGATTATGGTAAGACAGAGCTAGAAGCATCATGTACTGAATCAAACCACTTTGGGCTCCCTGACTTGGTGCCCCGGTTTTTAGGTTGAGTTTTTCTGTTTGGGTATTGAGAGATAACAGCTAGCAAGGTCCCTTCACTGGCATGGGAAAGAGAGGCACTCAGCCTGCCAGCCTTGACTGAGTGCCTCCTGCATACCAGGACCTGAGCTGAGGCCAGCCCCGTCCATAAAAAGGGGTCAGAAGAATGTCTCCAAGTCCTGGCGGTTGTGTTCACATCCCAGGGCCAGGGAGCTGGCTGGATACCTCAAATGTGAGCTACAGCCCCTGGCACAGAGGACAGGCCTCTCCTGCACCAAACACCTGTGGTTACATCGGGAGAGATGCTTCCTTTGGGTGGGCGGCGTCAGACAACTGCACGCAGCCGTTTGCCTTCATCTGCAAGTTTGGCCTCTGTTGTGGGGTCTCCCTCCTTCTGTCTCTCTGGGTCCCTCTGGGTGTCTCTGTCTCTTTCTCTGTCTCTGTGTCTGTCTCTGTGTGTCTCTGTCTCTATCTCTGCCTCTGTGTCTCTGTCTTTTTCTGTGTGTCTCTATCTCTGTCTCTGTGTTTCTCTCTGTCTCTGTGTGTGTCTCTCTGTGTCTCTGTGTCTGTCTGTGTCTCTGTCTCTATCTCTGTGTCTCCCTAAATGCCCACCCATCTCTGTCTGTGTGGCACTCTGTGCCTGTCTCCTATTGTCTCCGCAGCTTACACCCCACCTCTCCCTGTCCACCTACCTGCCTCCCCGCCCACTAGTTTCATTCCTGTCCCTCTTTTCTCTCAGATATCTGCATCTAGGTGCAAATGCCCAGCCCTATTTACTCTTTTTCTAATCTTCCAGTGAAGGAGATGTGGTCCCAGGAGGCTATTCTCCCTCACCCTTGATTCCTGCTGCCCTGGCCAGCCTGGGTCTGAGTCCCCACCACCCATCTTTTCTGACTCCTGAATCCCCTGCACTCCGCTCTTGTGTCCTTTCTAGCTGCTGTCCATGGTTGACCCCCTTTGTACCCTGGGGACCCTTCCCTGATGACTCTGTGCAAGAACCCTGGCATGAGTGGCCCATGGCCCCATGCTGGGTCCTGCCTGTCATGGTCTAGGAGCCAAGCTGCCCCATGGTCCCCTCACTTTCAAGCCAGGCTTGACAAAAGCTTCCAGGCTTCCTGGGCTCAGCCCCCTCCTTCAAGCCCCTCAGTGAAGAATCCTAGCTCCCGGGACCCGTTCTGGGTTTGGGCATTTACAGAGGCCCCTGCCCCAATTCCCCCCCCTTGTCTGGGTTTAAATAGGTGTCAGAATTAGACTTGTAACCTCTGGTACCCGTGGGTCATACAACTTTCCTCTCTGCTTATCACAACCCTCCCAAAGCCTTACCCCCTTCTGCAACCCAATGTGAAGCCTGTCTCAGAATCTGCCAGCCCCCAGAGTCTTGGCGCCATGGTCTGAGGTCACACCATGAACAGCTAACATGTATCAAGCAGGACCTCCAGACACAGAGCTGTGCACTCTGTGTGTATTCATCAGAGGTACTCAGAAGTACCTCTGTTGTTCTGTTGTAGGTCCATTATAAAGCTAAGAATAGTGAGGCTCAGAAAGGGTAAGCTCCTTGTCCAAGGCCACACAGCTGGGAAGTGACCATGATGAGACCTGAACCTGGGTTTGCCTATGATCAGAGAGACTAGCAGATGCAGTGCTGCTGGCTTTGGAGATGGAAGAAGGGGTCACAATTCAACAAACTGGGTACCTCTGGAAGATGGAAAAGGCTAGGGAGCAGACCATCCCCTAGAAGCTCAAGAAGGAACCAGGCCTGCCCACACCTTGATACTAGCCCAGTAAGATGCATTTTGGACTTCTCACCTTCATAACTAGAGGATGATAGATTTGTACTGGCTTCAGCCATTAGTTTGGTGGTAATTTGTACAGCAGCCATAGGAAATGAACACAGATTTTGGTCTCATCCCTTACCCTGTGGCGTTCCCACTGGGCAGACAGGACTGAGTATGGATCCAGTTTCCTACTTTCTGGCTGTGCCCAGCTGAGCCAGATTGGTCTTTTCTAACAAATGTTTACCAAACGTGGACCACATGCCAGTAGCTGGTCTGTAGGAGGGTCTCAGCACAGTGCCCCACCCCCCCGAGCCTGATGTTCCTAGTGGGGAAGTCAGTAGCCCAGCTTCTAGGATTGGTATGAAGACTCATTCATTCAACAAAAGCTGGTTTAGCATCTATCATATGCCAGGCATTGCTTTCAGATAAAGCTCAAAGAAGGTACTCAAAACAGGAGAATATAGGGCACCTGGGTGGCTCAGGCAGTTAAGCGGCTGCCTTCGGCTCGGGTTGTGATCCCAGGGTCCTGGGATTGAGTCCTGCATTGGGCTTCTTGCTCAGCGGGGAGCCTGCTTCTCCCTCTGCCCCTTCCCCTGCTTGTGCTTGCTCTCCCCTGTCCCTGTGTCAAATAAATAAATAAAATCTTTAAAAAATAGGAGAATATAGTTGCCAGTTGTATAGCCCTTACTCTGCATGTATAAACTCATTTAATCCTCCTAAAGACCCTATGTGGTGTGGTGCTGTCACTCCTGGTGTGGTGCTGTCACTCCCCCGTGCTGAGGGGGCCCAGAGAAGCTAAGGAATTTGCAGAGGGTCACACAGGTAGTGCGTGGCTGGTGGCATCTGTGCCCAGGCAGTCTTGCTCCAGAGCCGTATTCATGCCCACCACGTTCTATTTCTCATCCCTGTGGAGCCAGCTCCTGATGTGTCCCTTCATCTCAGTCCCGACTCCTGACACCCTTCCACTTCCCATCAACCAGGCACTTGCCTAGCCGTGACCATGATCCCTCCCTAAGGTGTCCCCTTCCCTTTGTCACAGGTGCTCGCCAGAGTCTGGCCTGTGATGGCCTCAATGCCACCATGCACTGTGGCTCAGGGGAGGTCATCCAGATCCAGGATGCCTTCTATGGGTGCCAGATTCCCCATTATTGCACCTAGGGTGCTGCAGGCCCCTCAGAGGAGGAATGCAGCTGGGCCAGCGTCAAGGATGAAGTGGCAGGTAAGACCCAAGGACAGCTCTGGCTGTCGGGAAAGGGCAGTTCCTGGGGTCCTGAACCCAGCCAAGGGGTCTGGAAGGTTTGAACAACCTTCATATCTGGGCCTCCAACATTAGGAAAACGGGCCAGTCTCTGCCCACAGCACCATATAGGGAAGCAAGAAGGCCGTGGCTCACCCCCTCACCCAACAGCAAACCCACCTGGATGGGCCAGGGGGGCATTTTGCTCCCCACTCCACTTGGGTGCAAGAAATATTGCTTTCTTTTTTTAAATTTCTAAATACTCCAAACATATATTTTATATATTATATAAAAATATTTCAGTGAACTCCCATAGACTCACTACCCATCGTTGTTAAATCCTAACATTATGCCATATTTGCTTAACGTCCCCTCATTACAGCAGTGAGTATGGCTTTAAATTTCCTATTATCCACTTTGATACAGGTACCAGTTTATTCGTTTAATCTCTTGTATAACTATACCGTGATGTGTCTTTTTCTCTGTTGAGAGTTGAATGGATTGTGTCTTAATCCTCGCTGTCATGAATAATGCTGAAACACACATTCCTGGTGGCATCTCTTGTTCATGTGGGAGAGTTTCTCCATGGCTTTGTTTTTCTAAATCAGATTAAATCCGCCTCTGAGCTGCATTTGCCTGGTGACAGGGGTTGTTTCAGGGATGATGGGGGCTCCCTGCACCCTCCTGGGGGTCTACTGTCCAGGACACAGGGGGCCCCCTCCTCTCTGCTGTGGTTAGTAGTGTTGGGCCTACAAGGTGCCAGGAAGACAGGTGGTCTGTTACTTCTCGGCCAAAGGAGGACACAGCAGTCTATGCCCAAGCTGGAAGCTCTGGGGCCTCAGGCTGAATCTCCCTACATGTGCCTCTCGGCAATTCAATGAGGGGTTCTGCCTCCACCCAAAGGCCCCGTGAGGATTCAGGGAGGAATGCCCTGTACTCCCAGAACCTGCCAAGCAGCCTCATCCCCAGTTTGGGGAAGTGTGCTGCGTCTCCCTGGGAAAGTGATTTGTTCTTCTCCCCTCCACGTCTGGTCCACATTGTCCCTGGTGCCTTTAGAGCAGGTACGGGGGAAGGAAATACTAAAATCAGCCACTTGGCTCCCACCCACTCCCCTTGTTGCTCTGGCATCCCTGAGGCTGTGGTCCCTCCGAGGGGGAAAGGCCTGGGCTGGGTGGGCTGAAGGATGTGCCTCCTTCATGGTGACCTGAGTCCCCCTTCAGGGGACTGAGTGGGCTATTTCCTCAAGGGCCCAGGTGCAAGTTTCCAAACCTTGCAACCACACCCAGAGAGCACCTTGGAGAGGAGCCCTGCATCCCTCTGGGAAGGGTCAGAGGAACAGAGTTGGGCAGGATTCCAGGGGAATCTGTTTGTATGTAAGTGCCACACTCACTCATTCATTGTCAGTTGGTCAATAAACATTCATTGAGCCCAACATTGTGCCAGGCTCTAACCTGGGATCTGTTGATAAAGGGATGGATCAAACAGTCTGTTTTTCAAAGAGCTGTCAGTCTAATGGGGAGACAGATATGGATACAAGCAATCACCTAGCACTGTGCTCAATGCCACAACAGAAGGGAGCAATGGTGCTATGTATTTACTCATGTAAAACTTATTTTTCACCTGCTATGTGCTGGGTATTGTTCTATGTACTGGAGTGGAGATACAGCAGTGAACAAAAACAAAACAAAACACTCCCCCTCTCTTGGAGATTGTAGTCTAGTGCTGGGGTACAGAACTCTGATTGAGGAGTGTATCAAGCTAGGTCCCATTAGGAAAACAGAAACCAAGCCAGGTCTTTCAGCAGAGGAAACTGAATGCAAGGAACTGATTACCCAGCATGGAAATGCTGAGAAGTCAAACGGGATAATGATACAAACCTGAGATTAGCATCAATGGAAAGCCAGTGCCACCCCTAAGGGCTGGAGGGACAACTGGAGGGGATGGTCTTACCAAAATCAGAAGTCAGGGCCATCCAGCGGGTGCTGGAATCATGGTGGAGGCTGCCCTTGGAAGCGAGGACCACGAGGGAGGGCCTGTCCAGAGGAAGCTGCAGTCAGAGAGAGGATGAAAAGACAGGATGAAAAGCACTCTGCCTTCTTATGTCTTCCTATCTGGGATAGGCAGAGGTATGGCCCCCAAGATTTGCCACCCTAATCCCTGGAACTCTGGGTATGATGAGATACCATGCCTGTGAGTATGTTAATTTACATGGCAAAGGGACTTTGCAGATGCCATTGTGGCTCCTAATCTGGATTATCCAAGTGGGCACAATTTAACCACATGATCCCTTAAAAACAAAGAAGTTTCTTTGGCTAGAAGCCAGAGATGGGGCTGATGGAGAAATCAGAGTTCAAATGTCAGACAGATCCAATACCCCATTGCTGGCTCTGAGATAACAGAGGGCCATGCACAAGGACTAGAGAATGGCCTCTAGGAGCTAAGGGTGGGTCCCAGCTGACATCCAGCATGGAAATGGGTCCTACAACCAGGCAGCACTTGCCTGTCCTTCTAGGCTTCTCTGTAGGGATGTAACTCATCTGCTTGGGCAGGAGGGAGAGGTGCTGGGATGACATGAGCCTGGGCGCTCCATGCTTCTCCTTCCTATGGGCACCTGGACAGGATTCCCGATCTTTCCCCTCCTTGACAGTTCTCCAAATGTAAGTTCCCACTTCAGGCCATCTGACTGGATGCTACTGGACCAGTGCTTCCCAAAGTGGGGTGTTTGGGCCAGCAGCATCAGCATCATCTGGACGCTTGTTAGAAAAGTAAATTCTTACACTGCCCACCCCCCCATGGCAACTGACTCAGAAGCACTGGGGGTGGGGTCTGGAAATCTGTGTCTTCCAGAGCCCTCCAGGAGATTCTGGTGTATTCTAAGATTTGAGAACCCTTGTGCTGGACCCTGAGCTGCTTGAGGGAAAGAATCCTACTTCTCTCCCTAGTACCTAGGTCAGTGTCTGGTCTTCAGTGGATACCAGCAGATATTCACTGGGTGGAGGGTGGGTGAATGGATGAATGAATGAATGAGAGATCATTCACCTCTGTCTGAACCTGTCCCTTTTCGTCCTTCACACTGTTCCTGCTCCTGCTGGTATTCGGGCACTTCCCAGGCCAGTGCCAGGGGCTGCAAGTATGCCAGGTGGCAGCAGATGGGACCTACTTTGGAGACCTGTGCCCCACCCAGGGCAGCTACCTGTGGGTGCATTACCAGTGCCAAGAAGGTGAGTCCCCAGCTTGCCTGGACATGGGAATTCCCTCATTTCCACACCAGGTCCAGCCCCACTTGGAGCAGAGGGAGCAGCCTCTCATGGGGGCCGATTTGTGCGCTAAGAGACTTCCTCACTCACAGCTGATTCCCTGCAGCCTGACCTCCCCACCTGACCTAGCCTCATGCGGTAAAGGGTTTGAGGCTCCTGTTGCAGAAATGAGCTGTCAAGCCAGAAGTTAAAAATATATTTATTTTTTAACTCCTAGGACCCTTCAAATTAAGTTTCATGGTGTGACCCAATAAACACATCAGACAAGACCAACATTGCTTGGCTGAAAGAAGTCAAAAGATGTCTTGCTACCATACCCCATACCCACTCAACCACCACCCTGCCCGTAGGCTGCATTTTAGAACACACAGCGACTTTTAAAAACTACAAATTTTGAAAGCCATAAAAATAACCCACATTAGTACACTTTATAAAAGTTTTATAAATCAAGAAGGAAGAATTCCTCCCTTCAATTCTACAGTCCTATTCTCCTTAAGGAAATCACTGTTAAATGTTTAGAATAAGTTCTCTGCTTTTCAAACTGTTTTCATAGACATGACTGTGTATGAATGTATATATGTAAAATATAATCACGTTAAATATGTTAGTTTACAGCTCAACTTTTTTTTACTTAATAATATATCCTAGACATCTGTCCCAGTCACTACCTTATTCTTTTAATGGCTGCATAGTATCCCATCATAAGATTATGTCAAAATTTATTGGACCAGTCCCCTGCTGATGGACATTTAGGTTTCTTCTGACTTTTTGTTGTTAAGTATCACTGCAGTGCTCATTCTTGTGCATATATCTTGACATACGCCTGATTCTTTTTAGAGGAGAGATCCCTAGTAGAGGGAATGCTGGATCATAGGGTATATGCTTTTTCACACTCCAAAATGGCTGCATCGATTTACATTCCCACTAGCAGCATACATGAGCGCCACTTTCCCCTATGCCATTGTCCAGGGAATTAGTCACAACGGCACCTTCTATTGAGAGCATGAGAGATGGTGCAAGGAGCTCTAAAGTGAAGCAGTGAGTCAGGGGACGTTGGGGTCCCCGGGGGCCATCCAAGAGAGCAGAGTCCATATAGGAGGGAGGACCGCACAGAGACGAGGAGAGGACAGGTTTCCCCAGCGCCATCAGTTTGCTAGACACCCTTGGGCGGAGTAAGAGTGAGCAGGGTGTCTTCATTCTGTTTTCTGGGAAGAAGAGGCCATGTGTTTTGGCAGTGCTTTCCATTTGGTGGTTTTGCTAAAGGACGAAGGGTGCCCTTTGGAGATCTGCCAGTCACAGTGTGGCTGTCATTGGACCAATGCATTGCTTAGGCCAGCGGGTGTACTGGATCTGGAGACCCCAGACAAAATTTTCTGCTCCAACTTTGATTTCAAATATCCTGCCCCCTTGTGAACCCGTGTGTTCTGATCACACTGTTTCTGATTTGTAAAAGGAGAGACTTTATCCAGCATCCCCTCCCACCCCGTGCCCCCCGCCACAGTGCCCAGAGGGGCCTAGCCACAGTCCGTGTTTCCTCAGGTTGCTGCGAATCAGGACGGCGACAATGTTCTGAGCAGCTCAGGAAAGTCCTTTTTGTTTGTATTCATCTCCTTCGATCTTTTCCCTCCTTGTTTGTGCTTGGAAACTGAAAGATTATGCTGCACAATTAGCCCAGGGCTGCATGAAGCCCCAGCAAATTCTACTCCCCTCCCCATCCTCCATGCTAACTTTGAAAGCTCAGGTTTTATAAAATTTAATGTGCACTAAATGGCTTACAATGAATCATTGCCCACCTTAGCCAAGTAGATTTTCCTAAAGGTGCTTTGCCTTTTGTCTTTTTAAACATGATAAAATACATTTAGACAATCAATAGAATCCTGGTTAAATAAATTAGGGTACATTGTACAGCTATTACAAAGAACAAGGCAGCTCTAACTGAATTCATACAGAACAATCTCCAGGATACAGTAAGTGAAAAAAATGGAAGGTATCAAATAGTGAATATACATCATGCACCATTTGTACAAATAGGAAAGTATGTATGTGCTTGGGAATGTGTAGATATCCCTGGAAGGTGACCCTGGATACTGGTAACAATGATTGCCTCTGAAGGAGGGAAGGGAGGCTTTCTTTTCACTCTGTACCCTTTATACATTTCAAATTCTGTACCTTGGTCACCTATTACCTATGAATTAAAAATAAAATTCAAAAGAACTTTAAAAAGTAAAAATAAAATTTAAAAAACTTTAAAAGCCCCATCTGATGATGACGGACAGGTGGATATAAGAGAGTAGGTTTTAAACAGAAGCATGCAATTTTGCTTTCTGATGGCACACAGCATTTGCCTTTTTGATCTGCAGGCCTGCAGCTGATGGTGTCCAACGAGAGTTTCATCTTTGAAAATGTCACCATCTCCCTCACATGGCTCCTCTCTCCCTTCATTGGAAATCTGTCATGTATAATTAGTACAGGAGATGGCCACACTTTCGATCCCTACTACCCCCCCCAGGTAAGAGGAATCTCTGAGACTTAAGTCAGGATGTATCTGTCAGTTTCTGCTGCATAACAAAACATCCCAAAATTTAGTAGGTTACAATAATATTGTTTCTCTTGGTTCTTTGGATCAGCTAAGTGGCTTTGCTTATCTGGGCCAGCTTAGCTGGGGGTGAATGGTCTCAGAAGTCCTCACTTGCATGTCTGGTGGTTAGCAGAATGTTGGCTAGCAGTGTGTGTTGCTCATAACCCAAGAGGCTAGCCTAGCCTCACAGGCATGGTGCCTGAGGGTTTCTAGTAGCAAGTGAGAACAAGGCCTAATGGGCAAGCATTTCTCAAATCTCTACTTGTGTCACATTTTCTAATGTCTCATTGGCCAAAGCAAGTTCTATGGCCAAGCCCAGCTTCAAGAGGTGGAGAAATGGACTCCACCTGTTGATGGAAGGAATGGCAGAGCCACAATACCAAGGGGCATACATACAGGAACGGGAGGAAGTGGCATTCACAGGTTTTCTCATGATGGAGTCCACATGAAGTCATGAAGAGCTGGGTCCTTATGGTTTGGCTCTGGGTAGAATCTCTCCTGGGTCACTGCCCAAGGAGTCGGTAATGAGGTGAAGAAGATGCTCACCTGGGTGTGGGAATGTTTTCTGTTGGCAAGCATAATAAAAAATGAAAGTAGTAACATTAAAAACAGTCCAGCCAAGCAGCTTTCACATATAATCTCACATATAATCTCATTTAATCCTCACTGCAACCCTATCCAATAGAATAGCCACCCGCCACATGAGCTACTGAACACCTGAAATGTGGCAGGTCTTAAGATATGCTGTAAATGTAAAATACACTTGGGATTTTGAAGATTTAGCTCCCCTCTCCAACCTCCCATAAAAAATGTAAAATATCTCACTAATATTTTTGTATTGATTACATGTTGAAATGAAAGTATTTTTTATATATTGGGTTAAAGAAAATTATTAAAATTAATTTTACTTATTCTTACTTTTTCATTGTGGCTATCAAAACATACACACATGTGGCTCACACTGTATTTCTATTGGACAGTGCTGAGCTAGGTAATTATTATCTTGTTTTTATAGACAAAGCAACTGAGGCTCAGAGGGTTATAGCGGCATTGCCCAAGCCATGCAGCTAGAGAATGGCAGCATGGTGATGCAAACCAGGACTGTCTGGCATCAAAGCTGAAGCTCTGAAGCCCCAGTGGATTATACAGCATGTGGCATCAGGGCCTGAAGGCCCTACTCTGAATCCTCTAGGGGAGCAGAGCCTTCCCAATCTGATAGAGGCTGGACCCAGTTCATAATATTTCAAAGTCCTACTGGGGCCTGGGGTAAGCTCCATTCTGCTCTGCTGGGTACCCGAGAATGTTCCAGAATTTTCAGGTCGTCATTGGGTTTGGAGGCTTCTTATAGTGGTCCTCAGTTCAACATGAATCCCCAGGGAAATCATGGAGGCCATAGCCCCTCTCCTCACTCCACAACATCTGCAGCTCTAGCTTGTTGGAGCTAGAGGTTCTGAATCCAGCCCTGTGCATGCTCGACATTGAGGGAAGCCCTGGGTGGGGTGGGACCAAGAGGGGGCCAGCCCTGTCCATGGCCCAAATCTGCTCCAGTCAGTGCTGGTTTCAAACCCAACGGTCTTCTGAGGTCTCACGCATCCTGCAGTGCCGTCAAAATAAAATGGCATGTCCAGAAGCTAAGGTTCTAATCCCAGCTGATGCTAACATGTGCGAGACAATCCCTGGTCTTGGGTTTCCATCTCCTTCTCTCTTGCATTTATATTGATGACTGCCTTGATTGTTTCATGGAGTAAAACGAGACATTACATGTGTAGATGCTTTGGGGAAGAAAATGTTTTAGTGACATACCCATGGCCTTGTTCTGCAGGTTTCTTCCTTGCTTGCTACCATTTCATCGGTAAAACAACAAATGCTCAGCTACACAATCTTCCGGCCCCCAAATTTTAAACAACTTGCATTTGGCATTAGTCAAAATTGACTGTTGGTAGCCCTGCTAAGACCTTTAGTTAAACAAGGACATTCCAGTAATAAACAAACAGTAGCTAAAAACTGGAGAAAATGGGACAAAATGCTAGTATTTGTCAACTCTGGATGGTGAGGTGAAGTGTGTTTGTTATCTTGCTCTCTGGAGACTCTGTGATTAAAGTTTTTGATAATTGAAGAGAAACAATAATCAGTGTTTTACATTTGCAATCCCTCTGGGCATTAGCTCGAAGCCAAAGCCACTGGAATTTTCTTTTTCCAAAAGAAGTAGTGGCAATACCCTCTGCCATCACTCCTCTCAAACAATCCAATTTCATCTATTTTAAAAACTTGGACTTTGAAACTACCTGCCCACCTTCTTCTATCATTTTTGTTAACTTTGGGAGATATATTTCTGATGCTTTCTTATCAGCACTAGCAGCCTCAGCCAGAATTTTAGAAATGGCATGAATTTTAAGTATACAGAAGTCACATATCTTGTGTGAACATCACTGTGCTTTTCTTTCATGTGTTTGTACAGAACCCTGCTTTTGCTTAACTCCTTGTTAAGCTAAAACGTAAATCAGACACTTGAGCTCTGTGGTAGACAAATAGCATGAGCTGACTGGGGAGAATCCAATCTCAAACAGAAACAGCATAATAAAAGTCAAAGGCTTTCTCCTTGAGAAGTTCCTGCTCGCCTTGCATTCTCCATGTCTTGTGTTCATTTGAACGTCAGGTTGTTTTGCTTTACTGTTTGCTGTGGGAAACTGTCTATGTTTCTGAAACTGATTACGTGCCTTATGGAACAATTTGCTAAGGTGAAACTTGTCCTTGTCCCGCGTTGGGTAACTCAGCGCCACCTACAGACATATCCGGGGATTGCCGTCATTCTTGGGTCTATTCAGAGCTGCCCCTACACACAACTGAGTCTGCAAGGGGGACTTCCCAGGAAATCAGTAATTCTCAAGACAACACAAAATTTAGGGTGACCTAGATGTACAGAATTTTGGGAGGCTCAGAGGAATTATGTGGGAGGTGATGGTCACAAAGGACTGAAGTCTTTCAGGGGAACCAGGCAGGAGGAGTGGAGGTAGAGAAAAGGAGGTCATGGATGTGAAGGGGAGTGGCCTCCTCATGTAACTTTGAGTACCTTATTACAACAGGAGTTCGGGAGTGTGTGGGAAAAATGAAAGATGATGCTGGAAAACTCAAAAGAGGTCTGCTGATGAAGAGCCTTGATGCCAGCCAGTTTAGAGAAATTGTTTTTAGAATATGTTATTTGGATACCAGGAAACTGATTTGTGAGGCAGCAGGTTTCCTGGGGGGTACAAGGATGGAGCAGGGGCAGAAGTTTGACTGGGATGCACTAGCAACACAGGCCCCTCCAATCCCCACAGAGAACTCTAGAGCTGGGACCTGTCTTGATTGAGGCAAGAGAGTGGAAGCTTTGTACCCTGGCACTGGGCAGCCCTTGGAGGCAAGATGGCATCTTGGGGGAGGCAGCTCCCTTTGGCTAAGGGGAATTCCTGGAGATGGAGTCAGGTGTGAGCTCTTGGGCACTAACACGCCAGAGTGTTGGGGGGATGCAGACTTCGGTCTCGAAGGACAGACTCTCGGTGACGTGCATCCACTACAGAGGATATATAAAAATCTTCAGGCCTTTCAGGTACATGACCCGTGATTGTTAATATTATTGCAAGTATTGCTAATAGTCGCTTGGTAATTTAAGGACTAAATGGGACTACAAAGAAGAAAAGAACTGGCACAGAGTTGATTCTCAAAAATGGGTAACTGTTGCCATTATTCATATTATATAGAAGTAGGCACTACTTTTATTTTTAAGAGGCTAAGTGGCATAAACGTCATCCTATTATAAAAATAAAACTACAATATTTGAGTCTATTACATGCCAGGTACTTACTCAGCCATGGTCTCATGTAAACCTTAGAACGACCCAGCCAGGAATGGCTCTTGCCTCATTGTATGGACAAGGGCACTGAGACATTAGGTTATACAGGTGACTGATGGAGTCCTGGAGACCTCATTTCTAGCTTCCTACCCTCTCCATTCCACCACACTGCCTTATCTAGTCAGAGGGCCTTGTCCACCAAGCTGGCTAGCACCCGGTGAGTGACATTAACAAAATGACAGAGACCTTGGTATTCTTAACAATTGTACATTATGAGCAAAGCTAAAAAATGTGAGCTTCCTTCTCCATTTTCTTTCTTTTTAAAGAAAAGCTGCATCCCATTAATGTCAACTACCAAGCAGCATGTACAAATCAGTGAATGGCAGTATCTTAAACTAATTTTTGTATTTTTTATTGAAGCATAAGACACAAGCAAAAAATGCACAAAAAGACACAGCTCAGTTAATTTTTACACAGTGAACACACCCATGTAACCAGCACTCAGATCAAGAAATAAAACATGACCTGTCTCTCAGGAAACCTCCTCAGGCCCCCAAGGGTACTGATTCCTAGCACTATCAATCAGTGCGACCTGTTTGAAACTTCTATAAATGGAATCATAAAGTGTATTCTCTTTTGTGTTTGACATCTGTTCAATAGTGCCTTTTTGAGATTTATTCATATGGTTGTGTATAATTATGATTTCTTTTTTGTCATTCCTGTATACCATTCCATTGTTTGGACATTTCTCAGTTTACTTATCCATTCTAGTGTTGATAGGCCTTTTCGGTGGTTTCCCATTTGGGCAATTACAAATTGTGCAGCTGTGAACATTTGAGCACAAGTCTTTTGTGCACACATGTACACATTTCTGTTGGGTTTGCACCCAGGGGTGGAATTGCTGGCTCACAGCATCATAACAAAATGTATAGTTGTTGCCTCTGTTGCTTTGTACTCTGAGCGTATCGTCCCTTTGTTGGCAGCCGTTTCTAAAATGACTTTGTTGTCTTCTCCCCTGGGTGGGCTCACTGGGAGACAATCAGGAAAAATCCATTTCTCTGCCTTTTAGTCCTGGGCAATTTCAGTTGGCAGCAGAGTTCAGAGAATGGAATGAGTTGCTTCTTCCAGGCAGATCCCTGAAAAATAGCCCAGATTTTGCTATTCAAAACCATCCTTCACATTTCTCTATAATGTTTTCTTGTTCTGAAATCGACATAGTCTGATATTAATAAAGCCTTATCAAGCATTTTTTTCATTAGTGTTTGCTGGTGTAGCTTCTATACTTGTACTTTTTTTTTTTAAGATTTTATTTATTTATTCATGAGAGACAGAGGGAGAGAGAGAAGTAGAGGGAGAAGCAGGCTCCCAAGGAGCAGGGAGCCTGATGCGGGACTCAATCCCAGGACCCTGGGATCATGACCTGAGCCGAAGGCAAATGCTTAACCATCTGAGCCACCCAGGTGCCCCTATACTTGTACTTTTAACATATCTTTATCATTATATTTAAGGTAGGCTTCTTGTAGACAATCTTTGGTTGAGTCTTGTTTTTTAAAATTCCATCTGGCACAATAATTTTTGCATTTAGACCATTTATAAGTAATGTAATTATTGATATAGTTAGATTTAGGTCTACTATATTTTGTTAATTTGTTTTCTCTTTGCCCTTCTGTTTATTTTCCCTCTGTTCCTCTCCTTTCTTGTCTTCTTTTGGAGTATTTGAATATTTTTAGTATCCCATTTTAACATATCTATCAGCTTTTTTGGTTCTCTTTATTACTTTTTTAGTAGTTGCTTCAGGGATTACAACACACATATCCAACCTTTCATTGTCTATTTGGAGTTAATATCTGACTTCAGTAAAATGTTGAAGCCTTCCTGGCATATAGGTCCCTTTGCCCAACCTCCTTTATAATTATCCTATGTAGGACAGTTACATACATTGAAAACCCCTTTCAACAGTCATACACATTTAAAGAACTGAAGAGGAGAAAAGTAGCCTATGCATTTACCAAAATAATTAACCATTACTTGTGCTCTCCCTTCATCCCTGAAATTCCAAGTTCCCCTCTGATACCATTTCCCATCAACTGGAAAAACTCCCTTAACCATTTCTTCTATAGCAGATTTTCTGGCAACAAACTCTCTTAGAGGATTTCTTTATTCATGAGAATGTCTTTATTTTGCTTCACTTCCTGGAGGACATTTCTGCTGGGTATAGAATTAAGTGTTGAAAGTTCTTTTCTTTCAACACTTGAAGATGTTGCCGCTGTCTTCTGACCACCATGGGTTTCTGAGGGGAAATCTACAGTCACTCACAACTCTATGTGTAATGTGCCATTTTTTTCAGCAGTTTGATTTTTTGATTTATCTCATTTATCTTTGATTTTCAGCAGTTTGATTACTATATGTGTGGGCATGGTTTTCTTTAACTTTTTTCCTTTTGGGGGTTCATGGAGCTTCTTGAATCTTCAAATGTATGTGTTTTGCCAAACTGGGGAAGTTTTCATCCATTATTCCTTGAGTATACTTTTCTGCACCAATCTCACTCTTCTTATTGATACTCCAATGACACAAATATTTTATCTTTCGATATTGTCACACAGATTGATGATGCTCATTTTTAAAAATTTAATATTTTATTAATATTTACATTTATTTAATATCTGTTCTTCAACTTGGATGCTTTCTCTTGCTCTGTGTTCAAGTTCACTGACTTTCCTCTGTCGTCATTATTCTGCTATTGAATCCAGGGAATTTTTTATTTCAGATATTGTGTTTTTTATTTCTAAAACTTCCATTCTTAAAAAAAATAGTTTCTGTTTCTTTGTTCAGAATGTCTAGCTTTCCGTTCATTTAAAGAGGGTTTACTTTTATGTCATGGAGCATGGCTATAATGGCGGATTTCAAGTCTGTCTGATAATTCTAACCCCTGAGTCATCTACAGGCTGACATCTATTATGTTTTCACTTGAGACTGGATCAAATTTTCCTCATTCTTTGTATATCAAGCCATTTTGGATTGTATTCTGGACACTTTGATAGTAGGTTCTGAGACTCTGGATCCTGTTAAAATCCTCTGGAAAATGGATTTTTGTTTATTTTCTTTTAGCAGGCAACCCCACCCGCCCCCGGTTAGATTCAGACCACATTTTATGACTTGCCTTCTGTGAGTGGTGGTTCCCATGTCCATTCAGTTTCCAAAACTGTTTGGGTCTGCCTCACTCATGTGCCACTCAGGGTGGTATTTATGTTGTAGTTTGACTTCAACAAAGCCATGGCTGTGTGTCTTTGGGTCTGTTTTACAGTATAATTTGTGGTGGAGGTCATGGTTTGTGCTGGGTTGTTCAAAGAAGTGGGGGATCCTCCTCTCCACATCTCTCCTTTTCAGGGTTTCCCCTACAATCTCCAGCTCCCACAGGTCTTTCTTCATTGCTCCTCTGGCTAGTAAGATGGGTTTTCTCTTGGGGATTTGGTGTTTGCATCACCCTACACAGTCAATACAGCTCTGAGGGAGGACAGCCTGGGTCAGGGCCAAGAGAAAAAAAAAGAGAACACAAAACAAAAACAGATATTTTCCCTGTGTTCTTGAGCTCACTGGGTCCCTTTTCCTGGTTCTCTGGCTAAATAGAGGGAATTTCTCTTGGGGTTTTTGTTTTCTTCATTCATTGCACAGTTTCGTGACTCAGGCTACCCTAGGGACAAAGCCAACAGATAAAGGAGGTTTAAAAAAAAAGACAAAACAGGAAAATGCCATCTTTATGGATAATTCTTAAAGTTTTAAATTTCTTCCCCAACTGTCTGCTGTTGTTTACTTTTCAGAATCCTTGGGAAGTTTTTTTGAAATCTGCCCAGGTTTTTCATTGTAATCAATGGAAGAAATGGGCTGTGGTAGGCTTACACTGTGGTGGCCAGCACTAAAAGTCAGGTTACTGTTTTCCAAACTTTTTCACAAATACGTTTATTTGTCAAATATTTCTCAGCATCCACTCTGTGCGGGGCACTGTGCTAGGTGCCAGGTTTATAACCAAGAATTAGACAGACACTGTGTTGACGACCTAGCAGAGAAGAATCAGAAGAAGCTACAGCATTTCCTTTATGGGGACCTAAGGAAGGCTTCCTTGAGGTGGTGATGTTTAAGCTGAGAATGGAAGGAGCAGTATGAGTGTGAGCTGAGATGGGTAAGAGCCTTCCCAGCAAAGAATAGCACACCTGCAGGCCTTGACGCAGACAGGAGGTGGCACATTCCAGGAACTGAAAAGAGGTCTGAGTGGATATAGAGTTAGAGGGGTGTGGCAGGAGATGGGGGTGAGGTCAGGAAGGCAGGTCATGTGGGTCTTTACAGGCCATGTTAGAGATTTTTAACTAGTTCCCTTGGAAAAATGAGAAGCAAAACATACCCATAATTCTGATACATTTGGAATAGGATCCCATTTTACACATGGGGAAAATATGACTCAGAAAGGTAGGCTGGGGCGTAGTATTTTACAGATAAAGCAAGAAGACCCAGAGAGGGGATTTATGTGAGTGACAGAAGGAATAAATAGCAGAAAAAGAACTTGTAACCAAATATTCAAGTGACCCTGGCTGGTCACTGCTCTTTCTTCCACTCCCACCTGTTCCAGATATCTCAATGTAACCTTCATGAACACCAACAGCTTGGTTGCATAGCATCTCTTTCTTCATCTGTTTGTCTTTGCAGAACAGGGGAGCATGAGGTGGGTGAGTGCATGTGTGCACACATGTGTGAATGCATGTGTTTGTGTGTCCACAACACTGCTAACACCGACTATTGCCTGCAGTTCATCCAGCAACGTGACCCACCAGTTCAGAGCCCCTGGGGAATTCACTGTGTTTGCTGAGTGCACAACCACTGAGTGGCATGTGATGGCTCAGAAGCACGTGATCATCCGAGACAAGATGGAGAGGCTCCATGTGACCGGGTGCTCCAGCCTGTCCAAGTCAGGAGCCAGCCCTCTCTGCCTCACTGTCTTTGGGGACCTGCTGTGGATTCAGGTGGTACTTGATGGAGGTGAGTCTACAGAAATGATCAAGGTCAAGGCGACCTTGATTTTCCCCAAATCTATCCACCCAACTCCCAGGCTTTAGTGAATACTAACAGCACTCATATATTGAGTCAGTTTTTTAGCTCAATAGCACCTAGTATGTGCCCGGAACTGGTCTAAGTGCTTTACGTGTACTAGCCCACCCAGTACGTACTACTATTATCTCCATTTTACATATGAAGAAATGCAGGGAAGGTTCAGAAATTGGCTCAAAGTCACAAGCCCAGTAAGCTAGTGAAGCTCTCAGCCTTCCGAATGTCCTTTTGTGCATGCCCACGGTCTCATCAGAAGAACTGAATTTCCAAGTCACTCCTTGTTGGGGAACTTGAATAGGACCGGGAGAGCTACGAGCTGGGCCAGAGGTCATCTCAGCGTGGCCAGCACTGACCAGCTTGGCACAGTGATGCTGCCGCCAATCAGGACTGCTATTCGGTGACATATACTGCTACACCCACAGCAGCTGCTATGGCTGGTGTCTGCTCTGATTGGCCAGTTTCTTTTCTGATTGGTCACAGAGGCCATTCTTGTTGGTCATCATGTCCATTTTGATTAGGCAAGGTATCCCTTCTGATCAGTCAAAGCATCTATTCTGATTGGTCACAGTGTCCATTATGATTTATCAGAACACCCATCCTATTTGGTCAGGAGGGACCCACGCAGTTTCAGTTGTTGAATACTCTGAATATCATCCCTTTTCTCAATAGAGACCCTACCAACTATGACCCATCCTCACCAAAGGCAGCATCTTTCCTTCAGGCACAGGTCCAATTTGAGATCTGGACAGAAGCCTGTTGAGGTAAACTGTGTGCTGCAGAGCTGCAGAGGGGAGGACATGACTCAGTCAGACCTCGCAGCTCCTGGAGCCTCACTCAGCAGTGACTTAACGGAGCCACCGTGGGTCCTTAAACATGGTACTCGGGGCTCCTCTCTGTTCCAGTGTGCTTGTTGGCTGAAGATGGTGGCTTTGTGCACCTGGGAAACCCAAAATAATCCTTCATTTATTTTTTCATTCTACAAATATAATTAAGTGCCTGCTCTTCGCCAAGTGTGGGGAGAGGGAGCAGTAAACATAAAAGTCAGAGGGCTAACATTACTCTTGGCAGCATTAGCTGTATCATCATTGTTCAAACAAGAAATATATTTGCTTGGTTTCTATTGGAAAGAATCCTAATTTGGTGGTTTAAATCAGATTTTTAAGAGTCAACCACAGTATTCAGCATCCATTTAGGATAGCCAGCACCAACCTGCAAGGGAGCACCTCTTAATGTGGACAGGCTGAGTGCTCCTGTAGAGCAGGGTTCCAGGCAGTCTGCCATGGAGGTGGAAGGAAACAGCTTCACCTGCTCCTGCCTAGAACAAGACTGGAGGCTAATTGTCATGCATAAAAATCAGCCATGCCTCGGGAGATGCTCCCTTTTTAGCCTTCCTCCCTCCAAGGCCAAACCTGTCAACAAAATGTTCTCAAATCTTTATTACAAACCTTTAAGTTTATGGGTAACACATGCATAGTATAAATTAGAATGTGCAGATGAGCAGAGAGGACCCAAAAAGAAAAATCATTCATGTATCCATTACTCAGAAATAATCACAGTTAATACTTGGGGTTGGGACTTATCCTTTCATATGTCTTTATGGCTATATCATGCCCCTAGCTATATCCAGAATCTGACCTCAGAGCTTGAGTCTTAACTAACTCGGTACAATCTACAGCATGGTTGTTGCCAACACTGTTAAATATTTCTTACCCCACATAGGAACTGGGGTGACTTACACTGCACTGTTTGGTAACATAACCCTGGCTGAGTTCACCACACCGAGGGGCCTGCTACCGTACAATCTGACCCTGGACAGAGCAGCTCAGCAGAGGATGGGCCCCGGGATGCACCACCTGGAGATCCGAGCCACCAGCAACACTGCCACCTCTGCACCCTCTAGAAACATCACAGTCCACTTCATGGAACTTCTGTCAGGGCTACAGGCCTCCTGGGGTTCTGACCACTTGGAGCTTGGACAAGACCTACTGGTCAACATCTCAGTGGCTCATGGCATCCCAGAGGGGCTGACCTTTGAAGTGGCAGGACTCAATGCAACCTTCACCCATCAAGAAGAAAGCCTCAAGGGGCCATTTGGGATTTACCATGTGGCAGTTCTTCTTGAAGGTACTTGGGGTTGGTGGGCCCCCTTCCAAACTTCCCTCCTCTTTCCTTCCCAACTTGGGTATCCAGCATTCCGCCAGCCAGTTTTGGTGTGTCCTGGTCACAAACCTGGTTCACAGCATCCAGCCTAGGTCACAAAATAAGGAAGAGACATATTATCTGCCCTCATAGAGCTCAGAGTCACAGGGGTTCTCAATTCTGGCACTTCTGACATTTGGGAATGGATCATACTTTCTTGTGGGGACTGTCCTGCACATTGTAGGATGTTTAGCGGCATCCCTGGCTTCTATCCACTAGATGCCAGTAGCACCAGGCCCCTAAGTCATGACAACCAAAAATGCCTCCAGACATTGCCAACTGTCCCCTGGACAGCAAAATCTCCCCCACTGAGAACCACTGAAGGATAACTGGAGTATTCCAATTTTTCCATCATTTCTAGAGGAGAGTGTGGTTCAGGAAACTAGTCCATGCCCTTGGGGGAGAGAGAGAGGTAAAAACAAGGGTGGGAGAGGGAGGGAGAAGAGAGGAAGTGTCACGATGGGGGCTGGAACAGAGACAGGGTGACAGACTGGCTGGCACCACCAGGGGAGGTGACCACAGCTGACATTTGCATTTAATCTGGAGAGAACAGACAGTCCTTCAGGGCAGTGCGGTGAGGTCAGCAGGCAGGAATGTGATGAGGGTCACAGAGTCTCCAGCCCACCAGAACTCTGTACCCTGGGTCCCTGGCCCTGGGTCTCAGAGGTATGTAATAAAGAGGGGAACACTATGCAGGTGTGGGGCTACCATGCCCTCAGCTGCAGAGCTGGCAAAAGAAATAGCAGGTTAAATGACAGATTTGAGAAGAAAAACACTGGAATTTGGCCAGGTATCAGAGGTCCAGCTTGAAACAGAGAATCCAGAATGAAATAAAATGACAATGGAAAATAAGCACAATATGTAGGCTATAATTCAAATGCAAATTAATTTTTGTCTTCTATAAAAGTTGCCTGGCAGGGCATGATAGATAAAATCTCTGCAGGCCCTGTGAGGTTTTAGCTCACTCTTAGATGATAAGTAGTCTTCTCCCCTCAAGAAAAACAGATTTGGATGACTCTAGGGATGAAGGAGGTGAGGAGGAAGGAGACAGACAGAACCAGATAGGACAGGAAGGCCCTCACTTGGTGGCGCTGGCCCAGTCTTTGCTTTCAGGGCCCAGCAGATGTTTGCAGCTACCTCTTGTGGGAGCTTCTATGGGCTTTTGAGGCCCCTGTTGTGTCCCTCAGCTCCCAGGATGGGCGTGATGCCTCTCCCTCAGCTGGCCACATCTGCCCAGCTGCTGCTTCTTCTGGATCACCAACAAGGTCACTCCTTGTTCTCATTGTTGCTACCCTTTCCAGCACACCCTATCCCCAAGACAAGCACCTGGTCTGTAGAAAATTCTCACCTTTTCCTTGGCCTGCTACCAGCGACTGCTGGTGTTTCCAAAGGCAGGAATGCAGACCTTTCCTCCCTCCCTCTCTCCCTCTCACTCCACCCCCTGTCATAGACCATCCTTCAAGGGCATAAGTAAGGAACCCTTCCATGGGGGTACTCAACTGCAAAGAGCACATATCCACCTTTCCAAGGGCCCCCTCTGATGAGTTTCCCTCTAGACTTGCGAAGGTAGCACCCACCACTCTTCCCCATGAGGGAGGAGGAAAAGGGATACACAATTACCCCAAATAAGTCTTACAAATCCTTCTCTCCCTTTTCTACCCCTCAATCTTTTAAAAGTCCTGTCATGTCTTTCCTTCTGCTGGAATCTCCTCTCTAATCTGACTAATGAGCACTACTCGTCCTTTGAACTTTAGCTTTAGCCCCACCATGAAC